GAAAGTGGACCCCGCGGCAGCACCGGGGTCACTGGAGTAATGGAGTAGAGATCGGAAAGAAATGCGCAGAGAGAGAGAAAGACGCACAGAGAGTCGGAAATAACAGCTGATATCGGCAGGTAGGATGGAAACATCACAGTCAGTTAAGACTTTACCTGGTTAATAACATCCTTTCAATTATTGCTCAGTTTGTACTCATCTTTTCGGTTGAAGTTGTGTCTGTGTTTACATATCTGGATGGCTTCATGAACAAATCTCTGATAATAGCCGGTGGGTTTGCAGAGTACCTTCGTCTTGGAAAAGTCAGTTTCGTGTGAGCCCACAACGTTAAAACAATGATCAGCAACGACAGAGGTATTGGTCTCACTGTGTTTCAGATCTGCCTTGTGTTCGCGAACGCGGTCCGAGACATGTCGTTTCGTTTACCCAATGTAACTGCTGCCACAACCACAACTCAGTTTGTAGACACCCTGGTATTGCATATCAGGAATCACATCCTTTACAGATGGGATCAAATCACGGATTTTGTGTACTGTGTTGAAACGAATCTAGATCTTGTCTTTGTTTAAGATTTTGGAAATCTTTTTGGTAACCCCTGCTATGTATGGCAAAGTGATGGTATTGGTTGGATCCTCAGATGGTTGTCTCCCCATAGCTGGGGAGACAGCTTTGCGGATTTTACGGTCAGAATATCCGTTCATCCTGAGGACTTTGTGTATGTGCTCCAGCTCACTGTCTAGGTGATGCTGGTCGGAGATGCAATGGGCCCTATGGGTTAAGAACCAGGCTACAGTCTACATTATAGACTGCCAGTCCACTCACCCAGCCTAATAACCATTGCTACTGTCTACATTATAGACTGCCAGTACACTCACTCCAATTTAGAACCAGGCTATAGTCTACATTAGTGTTTTTTATTATTTTTATTTTATCTTTCATATTTTTATTCACTTCATTTTTATTTTTCTAGCTACGTGACTTTACCGAAAGAACCAAAGAATATGAATTCCTGCAGTCACGGAATTTTTAAGTCTAAATTTCTGTCCATTATGCGTTGTTTTGCATATATGTTGCAGATTAATTAAGCAACATGTTTCCTTATAAGTTGTTTCCTTATAATTTTAATGTTTTGCTTCTGCGTTCTTTTAAAAAAATATGTGCTAATTATTTACGTGCAATTTTTCACTCGGAACACACCCGGTTGAAACCCAGACTTTTGCAATGGAATACTGTACTCTACGGTGTGGAGCTAGCTCAGATCATAGCATCCAGTAACTTGGACTGAAATCGCAGATGTGGTGTATTGCGTAACAGCTTAGATGTGCTCTCACAGCATGTCCGTGTGATGCATTAAAAAGCACATTACTCAGGCAGTCTAATCTGTATAGATTTTGCTTGTAATCGAGTTTACCATTAAATTTCCCTTGTATAATATAGGCTTTGAGACAAACAGATATACTCACTGACTGAGACCAAAAGTAAGACAACCCCCCAGATCTTCACGTAATTACAGGCGTCTCTCGCGTAACGCGTTCCTGAAAAACAGCACGTAAGTCGAATGGCACTGTATGAAGCCTATTTTCCTATAGACAATGTACGTGTTATACAGGGGGTTCGTTACCAAAGAGTGTATCTGACCATGAACACCTGACCAGTGAACTCAAACACGTACACCAGGCTCTCAAAGCGAATGGATATTCTGACTACACAATCTGCAAAGCCATCACCCCAACCGTGAGGAAGAAGCCATCTGAAGATCCAATCAAAACCATCACCTTACTCTTCTTTGGTTCTTTCGGTAAAGTCACGTACAATGAGAATAAAATAATAAATTGATAAAATAAAATAACACAATAATATTCTCACGACGTTTCGGCCACAACACAAGCGGCCTTCATCAGGTGTAGGGACGAGACTGTCTGGAGGACAGCGCTGGAGTGACAGTCTCGTCCCTTCACCTGATGAAGGCCGCTTGTGTTGTGGCCGAAACGTCGTGAGAATATTATTGTGTTATTTTATTTTATCAATTTATTATTTTATTCTCATTCTACGTGACTTTACCGAAAGAACCAAAGAAGATGAATCCTTGCAGTCACGAAAGCTTTACATCGAAACATCACCTTACGTTACATAGCAGGGATAACCAAAAAGATTTCCAAAATCTTGAACAAACACAAGATCCAGGTCCGATTTAACATAGTGCATAAAATTCCTGACCTGATCCCATGTGTGAAGGACAAGATTCCTGACATGCAATATCCCAGCGTTTACAAACTAAGCTGTATCTGCGGCAGCAGTTATATTGGGGAAACCAAACGACATGTCTCGGACCGTGTTCGTGAACATAAGGCAGATCTGATACACGGCAGGACCAATACTTCTGCCGTGTCTAATCATTACTTTAATGCGGCTGGCTCACATGAAATTTATTTCTCTAATATGATCGTACTTTGCAAGCCGACTGGCTATCAACAAAGATTCGTTCACGAAGCCATCCATATATACAGACACAGACACAATTTCAACCGAGACGACGGTTTTAAACTCAGCAATCATTGGAAAGATGTCATCAACCACTTTAGGTCATGACTTGATTTGTGTTTTCTTGTCAATCTCCACCGTCAGCAGTGTGGGTGTGTGGAGCGAGGTGCAATGCTTTGATTATGCTAGACCTACTGCCGGTATCAGAGACCTCTCCTACATTAACATTAGCTGCCCCGCCCATCTCTAAACCTTTATAAACAGCTTGCCCTGAGAGGCTAACCGCCCTGTTCCTGATCACGTTGAAGGGAAACAATAAAATAATGAAATATATATAAAACAATAAAAATTCTCACGACGTTTTGACCATAACACAAACGGTTGTCATCAGGTGTGAAAAAAACAATGGCAAGAAACATTTGAAAGAAGTGTCGGTTCGCATTAATTTATTTATTTCTAAACGGTGTATTTATTTATTAAAAAAACGCCAGCGCCACGCACAGCGATTTGGCAGTTTATTTAGAAGGACTAGTCCACCTATTTTCTGAAAAGAGGAGGGGGGAGACGAAAAATGAATGTATGCTGTCTGAAAGCCACCGTAAGCGTGAACAATCAATTAAGACCTGAAATGGTTTATCAAATCCTTCCAATGACTGCTAAGCCAGAATCCATCTTCTCGGTTGAAATTGTCTCTGTGCTTGTATATGTGGATAGCCTCATGAACGAATCTCTCATGGTAGCCAGATGGCTTACAAGATCCAGATCCGTTTCAACACATTACGTAAAATCCGTGATCTGGTTCCGTCTGTAAAAGATGTGATTCCGGACATACAATACCCTGGTGTCTACAAACTAAGTTGCCTCTTTGGTAGTAGTTACATTGGAGAAACCAAACGCCATGTCTCGGACCGCATTCGTGAACACAAAGCAGACCTTAAACAGGGTAGGACCAACACCTCGGCCGTGGCAGATCATTGTTATAATTCAGTAGGCTCACATGACATTGACTTTTCCAAGACAGAGGTTCTTTGTAAGCCATCTGGCTACCATGAGAGATTCGTTCATGAGGCTATCCACATATACAAGCACAGAGACAATTTCAACCGAGAAGATGGATTCTGGCTTAGCAATCATTGGAAGGATTTGATAAACCATTTCAGGTCTTAATTGATTGTTCACGCTTACGGTTTCTTTCAGACAGCATACATTAATTTTTCGTCTCCCCCCTCCTCTTTTCAGAACATAGATGGACTAGTCCTTCTAAATAAACTGCCAAATCGCTGCGCGTGGCGCTGACGTTTTTATAAATAAATAAATACACCGTTTAAAAATAAATTAATGCAAACCGACACTTCTTTCAAATGTTTCTTGCCGTTGGTTTTTTCACACCTGATGACGACCGTTTGTGTTATGGTCGAAACGTCGTGAGAATTTCTATTGTTTTATATATTTTTTATTGTTTCCCTTCAACGTGACTTTACCGAAAGAGCTAAGAATAGAATTAGTTTTTTTTTATTTGACAATTAAAGTTTTTTTCTTGCGTGGGTAACTGTGAAACGCAGGGCATAAGTGCGAAGTATGCCCCTAAAAGATTAATCGCGTTACTGAGAATTCGTGCTATGGGGGGGGAGGAGGGAGCGGGGGGTGATGGGGGGAGGCGCGTTACGCGAGGGATGCCTGTACATCGTGGTCATCATTGCGTTTATGTACGTATGTTGAACTTCTTTCGCACCATATGTAGCCAATTGTACTCATCGGAAGTATGACAGGAGGATAACAAACTAAACAAAAAATGCAATTCTAAAGAAATTGCATTTCAATCTAGATTTAAAAGTGCATAGCTCGCTTGGCTTCCTAATATCAGAAGGAAGAGCGTGCCAGATAGCCACAGAAGCGCATATGAAAGCGCGTGATGCAGGCACCATCTTTGTTTGATGGCTTGCCAAAAGTCACTGATAGGATGACTGGCCTTTGTGTCACGGTTTATGCTCCTTGACAAGATCAGCAATATATTGTGGTTTATTTGTGGCAAGCACTTTGTATGTAAAGAGTGCGATCTTAGAATGTATTCGTTCAGCAACTGGAACCCAATTCAGCTCAGCGAGCACCGGATGGACATGGTCGGATCTTGCAGTACCCGTCATGACGCATGCCAAAGCGTTTTGTACATGCTGCAGCTTGCTAATATTTTTTCCAGACGTCCCGTAGAGTAGTGAGTTGCAATAATCGAGCCTTGTCCATTTAAGTCCTTGAGGAGCCCCTTGCTGTCATGTGGATATGATGCAGCAGCACATTCAGTGTTTTGCCAGCAGCAAGGCAACCCTAGGGTGGGCAAGGAGGTTCCTGTGTGGACGTGTGCCTGCGTGTGTGCGCATGCCTGTGTGTGCATGTCTCCGAATGTGGTGGGGTGCAGCGCTGGCCACACTGCCTCATCTGCCATGCCAGCCTTCGGTTCTAGCTAACAGCACTTGCCTCAACAGTAGAGTACAAGGGGGATCTTTGTTTTTGGTGGTGCCTAGGCTGTCCGCAACGGAGTGACTGAGCACACGCAGGCGGCGGGCACGATGACGGAGTACAAGTTGGTGGTGGTTGGCGCAGGAGGCGTGGGCAAGAGTGCCCTCACCATCCAGCTCATCCAGAACCACTTTGTGGACGAGTACGACCCCACCATCGAGGTGACGCCCCCCCCCCGCTCCCTGCCTCCACTCTGCAGCAACACACGATGTCCACAAGGGAGGAGCTCCGTGTGCTCACTGCAGTGACTGCTGAGGTCATGGGATTTATCTGGCAGGGTGGCGCAGCAGTCAAGAGGCAGAGTGGTGGTGCAGTGGTCTAGTCACTCGTGCCTCACAGCAAGAAGGTTCTGGATCAGATTAATGACTCAGGCGCCTTTCTGTGTGACGTTTGTATGTTCAGCCCCTGTTCTGCATGGATTTCCCTCTGGGTTCTGCAGTTCTTGTCAAAGCTAAAAAACGATGTACCTCGAATTGACCAAACATCCCAGTGCTGAAAAATTACATGATGTAACATCACGCCCTGCTGAAAAAACTTTGCAGGACCCAACTGAAAAAGGGTCTTGAGACTCAGGAAGGCTTTCCTGGGCAATTAAGCCATCATTGGACACCTGGTGATACATTTTGTACTTTTAACAACATTGGTTTCTGACATTACATTCATCCAAAATGTAAATAATAACCCCTAATTGGACTAGGCAAAACTTATTTTGAGAAGCAGTTTTACATGATGAGTTGTATTCAGCCCATTGGTGGCCAAGCTGACAGTGCCTCAATACACTTTGAGACCCTTGTTCATTCACAGGAAGGATTTCCATGCTCCTGTATTTAATCGGCACTGTTGTTGTCATCTCAGGACTCGTACCGCAAGCAGGTGGTGATTGACAGCGAGACGTGTCTGCTGGACATCCTGGACACGGCCGGGCAGGAGGAGTACAGCGCCATGCGCGACCAGTACATGCGCACAGGCGAGGGCTTCCTCTGCGTCTTCGCCATCAACAACTCAAAGTCCTTCGAGGACATCCACCAGTACAGGTGTGTGGGGCTTACTGCATCCACCAGTACAGGTGTGGGTGGCTCACTGCATGGGGGTCCTATCCGCCTGATCTGCTGTACGATTATATGAGTAAATGGCCGTCCGAGTTAATGATTGAGCGTGTGTCTCACTGTTTTAATGGAAGTAGAATGCCTCATTTCAGTGTTGTCATGAAGTGGGGTGGTTATATGTGGCTACGTGTTTATTGTCAGCAAGGCAAACTATCATATGCTGGGAATAAATAAGGGGTTCTTTGCATACTTTATTTTTTACTTAAAGCAAACATTTGGATATGTTTGGAGAAAATGGTTGTGGGAATCCTGGTAAGAAACGCCAACAGCTTAAAATGTAGGGTTGTTAATTGCTTTCTTTTATCCATATTTGCTACTCATGAAGAATGTCTCAATAAACACCAGTTCCATTCTGTCCCTCAACGTGGCAGTGGAATTAATGGTCCAAGTTTCCTGAATCCCTCCGCCTATGTCCACCCTTCGGTATATATCGGGACACCGCGGTCGATGGGCAGGTCACATGTGGTGGGGTAAAATGCGAGTATGCCCACCCCTTTCGAGACGTCTGGTCAGCATTGAAGAGTAGATCAAATACCCTTTGGAGCCGCCCATCATGAAGGCCTCTCCACCGCTAGTGGTGTGAGAGATTGCAGGGTTAACTAATGTACAGGTACCACGCAGGCTGCCATGCTGTTTGTACGTTCGCACACGGTAAATGGTGCAATCATGACTCAAGCTGCACTGGAAACGATTACTGGGTCCTCACTTTCTGCACCGGTAATCGAGTGTGGAAATGGTTACTGGTTTACCATTCTTGGGGGATTGACCGTGCTTCATCACTGATGTTAGCCCTGCACTATGAAACAAACCACTAGCTTTGACTCGCAGCCATGGTTAACTGTAGTGGCGAGCGATATCAGAAATGGTCCTGGGGATCCCTTTCACCAACCTGCACTGACCAGCATGGTGAAGTATGGTCAAACAAACACCGAGATCACCATGGTGGTTAGAGCCCTTAACCCAGCCATTGGCTTGGTAAAGGGCTGGAAATGATCGCTATTGTTATGATGACGATGATGTAGGTGTACCTTTGCCTGTTGAGTTTCATGCTGCCATCGATCGACTGCCCACCTCCACCCCCACCGCACACTGCAGGGAGCAGATCAAGCGTGTCAAGGACTCGGACGACGTGCCCATGGTACTGGTGGGCAACAAGTGTGACCTCCCAGCACGCACAGTCGACACCAAACAGGCGCAGGACCTGGCGCGCAGCTACGGGATCCCTTACGTTGAGACGTCCGCCAAGACGCGACAGGTAAGGCCCTCGGCCACCCCTGGGGCCACGGGCATAGAGAGCTGTGCTGGAACCGGCGTGCGAGAGTCTACAGCCCAGCAGTCATGGCAGCTTGAGTGTGGTGCCACCCACTGGCAAGGTCGAGTAGTGATGCCACTGCGAGCAGCAACCGTCATCCATTATTCACGCAGAAAAAAGCCTCACCGTCTCAAGACTGTACTGTCTAGTCTTACACAGTAGGGGGCTATGTGTGCTTGATTTGTGGAAAACTGATGCAGTCATTCATGGTTTCACAAACCAATCTTCTTTGGTATGGCAGGAGGGAAAAGCAACAGTTTTTAAACATGGTATAGTTGAACGCCAATTTCCTTTAACCAATCCAAGGAGGCAGGAGCCACTTATTGATTGCAGCAACACAGCCAGGATGCGCATGGATGGTGCATACGTCGGTGGCCGGGTTGATGGTTCTGACTTCACCACAGTTGCAGTTTGCCAATCCTTTGATTATTACTTTGTGGAAGGTGTACGCATATCTCCCATGTTGCATTCGAGCATGGTTTGGCGAGTTCCATCATTATCGTAGGAGAGAGAAGCTCGGTACTTCCACAGTCGGGTCCTCCATAGCCACCCATGATTCTCCATCCAGCGAGTGCTGATGTCTTGATTTTTGGCTGCTAGAGCAGAGGCGTACATCCAGAAAGTTTTGCTAGATTTTAGAATATTGTTTGGGAGTTCTTTTAGGTCTTGATGAAGCGGCAGAGTGATGTCCATAAGATTGTGGTTCTCCCGAGTCATCGCAGCACAGGAGCGAAGTTGACTTCAGCGTGTCGCTGATGATATTAAATGCGGTGTTGATTTCGGTATCGATGAGATTTGTGTGTGAGGGCTGGCACCCCACATTCGTGCACCTACGTACGACTCTGCGGTAGAATGCACCAGAGCTTGCATTGATATCAACGTGTGGGTTTCGCTTCCCCATGTTGTTCATGCAAGTTTCTGAATAATGTTCATTCGTATTTTTGTTTTACTCTTGGCTTGTTCAAGGTTGTGGTGATCAGTACCAGGGCTAGTGGTCGTGTGTTATAGGTATTCCAGTGAAGTTGACATTTAATGTTTTCGTGGCTTAGCTGTTGTTCAGATGGAAGACAGATGACACTCTCGGAGGGGTTTGACTGAAGGCGCCAATTCTTGAAGTTCACCACTAGGGCCTTCAGATGGGGCTTGGGTTACCAGCACGATGTCATCCGAGTACATGAACTTGCGGGAGGGTGTCGCTGGTGTAAATATTGCAAAGCACTGGAGCAAAAACGGAAGCGGAAGTCCATTGTAAAATTTCCGTGGGCAGCTGGCAGCTTCACCAATGTGGAGGTGAATCATCGGTATTTTAATGACGAGACAGATTGTCAGGCAGCAAAGTATTGCTGCCGCAAGCTTTAGCAGGAGACCGTTCCACCGTACAGTATCGTATGTCGAGGAGACGTCGATAAATGCTGTTGCTGTTTTTAGCTGGCATTTGAAGTTGGCCTCAATGTGGCTCATTAAAGCAAACACTTGATTGCAGCTATTTTGGCCGATTCTGAACCCGGAACGTTCCTTGGCGACTATATCTTCAAGTGTAGGTATCAGCTTTTTGCAGTTGGAGTCGCTCTATCAGCTTATAGCAGACACTGACGGGGGAAATCAGGCAGTACTTTTTAGCGTATGATGCATCCTTGTCGAGTTTAACAACCACGATAATCTTAGCTGCATTCCATTAGTTCGTTCCTTGCCTACGCAGTCGATATCGATGAAGGTGGCGAGACATTTTTTTTTGCTCGTGATCTCAAGTTCTTAATGAATTCCGGATAAATCCTATTGAGACCTCCGGCTTTCATCTGGGAAATACGAGCATCTACTTCCCCCCTCCCCCCCCATTGAGAAAGGGCCGGAGATTGTGGAGGCATGTTGGCAGCAGTTGAGAGTGCGGTCGAGTTTTTTTTTTGTTAACTGGCCATCTAATGTTGTTTGATCGGTGCTTCTGAATTGCTGATTTAGTTGTCCGGCAATGTTTTTGGGGTTAACTTGGGGAGGTTTATAAGTTGGTGTCGCTGTTGCTTCTGGCAGCCTTAGAAGGTGCCAGGTTTTTCGGCTTATTTTTGTAAAGTCAACAGCCTCTGCTGCTTCACTCTACCATTTTTCTTCTTTGCCGAGTTCAGTGACTCGAGCAATGCTTTTGCGCTTTTTCCGATCGGCACTGAATTGTCACAAAAAATTGTTTGATTTTTGGAGACCAATAGGGAGTGAAGGCTTTTCTAAAGCCTCTTGCGACATTGGCCTTTGTAGCTGCCTGGATGAAGCCAGTGAAGTGATTGAAGTTGGTAATTCGTGGAGGGACAATTCCTACAGATTTCTCCATAGTTGTGGCAATCCAGCTATTCGCAGGTGTACGAGTGGAATCTGAAGGTTGATAGGATCACTACACGTCTACGTTGCCTATTTGGAAAATAGTCGATGAAATTTCTCATTGACTTCATATAATTACAATTCTTATCTCATGAAACAAAAAATTGGGCATGTAACATTTTTCCACCCAGCTGTACTTGAAAGTACCGTGGTCTTTTGGTCTTCTGTCAGTTCTTCACCTGCTTAATCGTTGGCATCATAGGCCCCACAGGGTATGGTGGGTATTGAAGTCGCCAGCATGGATGGATGGTCGGGTGGTTTGGCGGTGGTAGCAATGGACACGACCATTCCATATATCGAGGCTTGTAAACATTGACCACTGTTAAGTCGTTAATTTTGATGGCGACGTAGTGGGATGAATTGTTGAGCACGACCAGGTCAGTCTTTACGTGTGTTGCGAGGCCGTATCTCAGATGGTGGCTTGAGGAGAAGAGGGTGTAGCCGTTTATATTCAAGCGAAGGCACTCGTGGGCCAGATGGGTTTCTTACAGCGCGAGGATATCAGTGTCTTAAAACTTGAGCATCTTCGCGATATCACATTTTGCACCAAAGATGCCCTCTGGTCAGTTGCATTATTCGCGACAGCAGCCGACGTTCACCTTTCTTTGGCCTTGAGAAGAAGGGCCATTACTCCCTTATCAGGCCGGGATACCTTTGTCAGGCATTCGGCTGCCAATTTGATGACATTTGTTTTGCTTTCGCACGTGGAGTGGAAGTGGAGACCGCCAGCAGGCTGTCATCTCAACATCTCAACAAACCATTCGTTCTGCTCAATTGAAAAGGCATATGAAACCGAATTGGCCACGTACATCATCAGTAACAGGTGGTGTTTGAACCAGGACTTGGCTTCCTTATGTAAACTCAGCCTTCAATTAATTGCCTTGTGCAATGTCTAACTATTAGCAGTGGGGAGACATGGGTGGTGGGTCTTGCACTCCGCCACACCATTCCTCCTGTCCTGCACTACCCTCAGTAGGCACTCACTAAACTGCCACGGCGTACAAGGAGGCTAAGCGGGGAATGTGTGCGCGCGTACCAGGGCGTGGAAGATGCGTTTTACACCTTGGTGCGTGAGATCCGGGACCACAAACTGCGCAAGATGAACAACGCCAACAACAAGGACGAGTGCAGCGTGTGCAGCTGCGTGCTCTCCTGACCCCTGGTGAGGGCACGGTGCGCTTCGAAGCAGCTACAGCAGCAGGTGCAGCAGCACCCGCAGCAGCACCCGCAGCAGCAGGCGCAGCAGCAGCATGCCAGCATTGGGAAGCACCGAGCCCTGGGCACGGAGCTGTATGCGCAGGGCATGTGCCATTGGGTTCCCTGATATCCTCCTCTGCTGTACTGGCACTTTGCAATGTCTCTAAACCGTAGCTTGTATACAATAATCCGCTCAACCGCTGGTACAAGCTTTGTCACACACTCTCGCTATCCTGTTACTAATGACAATCCCTGCTGCCTGATGCTTCCCATCGTTCCTCCCACTGTACCACAGAGCCTAACCTGTAAAGCCATATTTTATTATTATTCCTCTTATTTATCCAAGAAATCCTCACAGGATCTGATAACTTTTTCAGGAAGTTCCTTCCAAGTTTGGCATCGTAGGTGGGCGATGTTGCTGTGTGTAATCCCATTTGAGTAATTTGCAGGTAAAATGTTTTGCATATTTTGGCCAAAACCAGTTACATTGTATGGTGAGGTTTTTTGGCTATGGCAGGGAACTGGAAAAAACACCCATATAGAGCAGGGGGAAATCATGCAAACCCAGGCACATCTTTCTGCGAGGCATTAGCATTACCACTGCGCCACTCTGACACCCACCTAGTTTCACTTCTACAAAGTGGAATATTATAACGTGTCAAATCAGCGGCAAGGTTGGTGCATGTCCTGACATTTCAATGTCGTTCATGTTTTGCTGTTTCTACTCTATGCCACCCTCCAGCAGTGGTCCTAAAGCTCAGGAGGCACAGGGCCCGCTAGCCAGCTTCTCGCAGCCACCACGGTTGGTGCCAACGGCACAAACATTTAGGCGAAGGTTAGACTGGCATGTAAGTTTTATTGTGTGCCGATTCTTGGCTAACATACCAGATTGTTCCAACTCCTTCCCAGAAAGCCCATCTGCATTTAGCCATCAGCAGGTTTTCAGACGTGGAATTGCACTGAAATATCTGCACCACCCCTGATTTGCTAATTAATCAATCGCAGCATGACAGTCCCTCGTGAAATAATCTGCCGTGTGTGTGTGCGTGTCGCAAGGTGCTTGTGCATGCGGAGATGCCGTAGAGTGCCACTATGCGGCCGCCGCCTGCATTCGAGCCCCGAGGTGCTGGCCTCCGCCGACGTCCCAGGGCTGCGAGACCTTCCCGAGGGGCCGGGGGGAGCTGCGGGCGGCCAGTCCAGCCCAGCCTCTCCCTCATCTCCCACAGCCATGACCACTCACTCTTTAATGCTGGCCATGATTATCAACGGGTGGCAGTGCTCAGCGGCCCGCGGGCTCGGAGTGCCGAACTCTTAACGCTCCCGTCGCCACCACCACTACAGCTACGCTGATGCGCTCTCCCTCTGGGGCCGGGACCCCCGTCTTGTCGCTGCTGTAGGAATGTGGCACGCTGCCCCGCATCTGTCCCGCTGTAGGAACAACGCGCTGCCCAGCATCTCTGGCGTGCAGGGACGGCGGGCGCAGCCAGGGCAGTTGGTTGGTTTTTAGCGGCATGAGCCGCGAACTCAAAAGGGAAATGCCTAACAGGTTGTACCACGTGCGGAGTTGCGATTACTTCACTGCACATTTGAATTTTTAAATAATTTTGTTTTTATTTAGTCCTGTTGTCTAACACAGTTGTTTTGAGTAGATGTGCGGAAGTGTGTTTTACTACGTATGACTGCATGTGTGTGCATGTGTGTGCGCATGTGGGGAGTGGTGGTGGAGTGGTTCACACACTGATCTTTGGCCATGCTCATGTAAATGGGTACTGGAACCGTGCCTGTGCCTCCTCTAGGTTGACTCGGTCTAAACATGAGTACCTTGTGCGGTGATGTGTCGACATCAATACTGGAGAGATGGGTATGCGTGGCGCTAGCCAGACAACCCCCTCTTGTGCTGTGCCAGCCTGCATAGGTGCTCACCAACAGCGTTTGCCCTGCAGTCTATAAGGCTTATTGGGTGACCTATATGTATATAAATGTAAACGCAGTATATAATTGTGCGTGTGTGTATAAAGTACTCGTCGAGAAACCATTTCAGAAAACCTGAAGCCAAAAATGTGGCGATGTGAATCTCATGTTAGAGCAGTTGTGTGTTATTTGTTCATCGCACTTCGCTTCGATCCCCTCTTTCCCATTTATCTGGCTCATGACTGGCACCTCTACGACAGGGCTGTGTGAAAGAAGGAGCTTCCGCCGTGTCGAGACAGCAGTGGGAGGGAGCTCGTGGGTGCAAACAGCTTTGTCACCACAGCCATTGGGGCATTCTTGGATTGGTAAATAACCGGTAACCGTTTGAGAATTGGTTACAAGTCCGGAGAGTCAGGAGCCAGTAACCGTTTCAAACAAAATGTTAGCAATGAATGCGCTGATTGGCACGGTGCAAGCGTACACACGGCACGTTTTCCCTCGTGACTTGGTTAGACGGAGCTCTCGAGGGTATTTGGTCGACCATGCTGATCAGACGTCTCGGAAGAGGTGGGCATACCCACACTTTACCCCACTGCATGCGACCTGCCGATCAACTATGGTCAACCCATATATTCTGCCAGGTGGACAGATGATGGCAGAATTTTGGACACTTGCCCCATTTTATCAGCCGCCACGTCGAGACATTGAATCAAACCACCAGCGAACTCTGGATTGCAAGGCTCGTGTGCTCACCATTACACCGTGGCAACTGCATGCGTTGCTCAGTTTAAAAAGGTAAACGCTTAATGTATGCGACACACAGGTGACTGGTGTTTTTTTTTCCAGATGTATTTGAATGCGGTTACCGGCAATACAAATGGATTTCCACGACCCTGGAACGTCCCCCTCGCCGCGAGTGGCGGGATGGGCACGCCTCGCCAGCCCCACTCAGCGCGCTTGGCTGGGAACCCACGTGTGAAGAAACGTAACGCTGCCTTTTTGACTCATAAGACGGGCCTTCATAGTGCGGAGCTTGTCCTAAACCAATTCACTTGGTCGTGACATTTTATGCATTTGCAGCCAGGTGGGGTGTGACTTGCCACCGTGCGCCCATTGCACAGGAAAATAGGGCTCGGCAGAAGTCGACCCAATGCCACCGATTCTACACAGGCCACCCTCTTCCGAATCGCCACTGTTGTACAGTGACCAGCGCAGTGGGATGGTAATAGGATATGTTCATCTCCGCAGGCTAGAATGCTCGATGAGGGTACGTTTTTATCCATTTTCTGATCAGTAGCTGCCTAAAACATTAACGTAATTAATGTATAACTTGTAGGTGCGGTGGTAATGTGGTCCCGTAAATCGGCGGTGTGGAGACGGCTTGTGGCTTGCGCAGGAATCTGAGCCATGATTATCAGCATGAGACAACCACCTTCTGAGCAACTTGATGGTACCTGCCGAAGGCAGTATAGCAAGTCGGTTACAGATAGCTTCATCTTTTTAGTCGAGATTTGAGTGTTCTCTTGTATGACTTGGTTTTCTCCAGTCTCTGGTTTCCTCCCATGTGTAAAAATACTCGACACCATTAGACTAACACCACTGGAAGAGGTCCCTCTTGAAACTGCCTTCAAGACTTGGTGATGCTTTCCTGGGTGGATACTTTCCATTTTTGCTTTGGTTATTTAAGGCCCTGTGCAAGGCCTTGCAATTTAAGTGTTTTGCTTCGTAAATTACCTATACTCGAGTCAAGTTCAACGTGCGATGTTTTAAACGTGGAGACACTGGAGAGCCGATCTTGGTGGAGTCCGAGTGTTATTACTGTTTTTTTATTAAACACCCTTCGTGTTCAGTCTTGCCTCGTATGAGGCTTATTTGAATCGCTGCTGGATAAGCAGGGCTTTCATTTTGTGTTTGAAAGACAGTGGTGAATCTCTGCAATCTATGGAAGTGAATAATTGGTCGTTGAACGCCTCTGCTCTGGTTGTGGTTATCCAGAATTTACCTTTTTACTGTAAGTGGCTTCACAATTGTAATGCACACAAGGAATGTGATGCGTATGTAGATGTGGCTCATAAACATTGCTCAGCACAGCAGGACATTGATAGAAGTACCCGAGGTTGTAGTGATTGACTAGTTTTGCAAAGAAGGTCACTGCAGTGTGTTGGGCTCCATTCGACAGGGTGGTGGCAAAGGGGCAACACTCGTGCCTCAAAGCAAGAAAAACCTCCGATAGATTTCCAACTCGGGTGCCTAAATGTGTGCAGTTTGTATGTTCTCCTGTTCTACATGGGTTTCCTCTGGGTTCTGTGGGTTCCTCCCATAGTGGAAAAACAGTGTCACTGGTGTTGGCTGAAAATGTACCTGCAAATTACTCAATTGAGATTCCATATAGCAACATCGCAAAAACTTGGAAGGACCCTACTGAAAAAGTCTTAAGACTCTACAATGCTTTCCTGGGTAAATAAGCAAGATAATAATTCATAACACGTTGCTCTGTACCTCGATAAGCTTTACAACAGTCAGCAATCCCCAATGTTATGTTGCTAACTGTTAATAGCTTAAATCAACTCAAGGATTTTCATACACGTGCCATGACCCAAAACTAACTCCTCGCAGCAATGACGAATACGCAGCCCCAGAATAATGTGCGGGCCGCGTGTGGGCAATGTGCGTGTGTACGAGCCGTATGTGCGTGCGTGCGGGCCAAGGGCGGTACGAGGGGTGGGACGTTAAAGCGGCTGTTGGGATTCTGCCACGAGCTTGTTCGTTCATGATGCCACATGGCCATGGAGTGTGAATTAATGAGCTTCCATACATAGTGTTATATATATTCAGTACTCCATAACAATATATTGTAAATGTTATTCTCATTACTAAAATCACGTAATAATGGAAAATAATTTGCAAATTTCAATGGGTCAATTATCCAAGACTTGGGAGCCAAACTAAGGCATATAATGTTTAGGGTTCGATGAAAATCAAATCTGTAAATTACAAAAAATCCAATCGCCACGTAGTAGTGGAGGTTGGAAACAAATAGGTTCAACAACACACACAGGTGTGTGCAGCATTACAGGTACAAAAGCTCTTGGCCATATTCAGACCACCAGCTCGAAAGAACTGGCCAATTTGCTCCGAGGTAGTAATCTAAATGATTATTTCCACAATTATTTTGAGCTGGTAATATGGATAAGACCTGTACATTCAATGCAGCGCACTGTTGTGTGTTTTAAAATCAAATTGTTCATTAAAATGTTTGAGACACAGTCAAACTGATATTTAAGATTTAGTTTTCAGTAAAAGTGTTGCATACACAACCAGCCAAAATCAAGTTATACGTAACTGCCGCAATGTCCAGTAAATCATCGCGTGCTGGCTTGAGCAGCTGCCCTGTTGGTCCTTGCATAATCACTTTTAATCTTTTGTGCTGCAGCCACTCGATCTTGTGTGTTTTACGGCGGGTGGAGCCAGTGCTTGTAAAAATAACTTGGCAAAACATGGATAATGAAAACGGTGGAAATGTGAAGTAGTATTTGTGTGTGACACGAAGTTCAGGATATACTACGTGCACCATGGTTTAGCCAATTATGGCAACAGTCTTTCCTGGACCACCAAAAATCGCATGCAAGAAATGTAACCAATTTCTAACGTAAAATAAAGTTTCATAATTATTTAGGTTGAACATCATTCATCTCTACTTCATCACATTGGACCAGTTGCAATGGGAATCTCATATAACCAATGTGGAAACACATTTGATTTTGAGACTGTAGACTGGTTCATTCAACAAGAACCCCGTGTACATTTGTAGAGTATTATTTTTTTTGTGGAATCTTGGGAGAAATTTGCAAAGAGAGTTACTACTGTGTGCATATTGTTCACCTCGTAACCCTGTTCACCAGGTCATGAAAGCAACCAGCGCTGACTTGGATCTATAACTTTGATTCACATTGTGTTTTTGTGTAAATAAAATACGGTATGTATAAAATGTCTTTAATTAGGGGTTACATAGAGTACCTGTGTAAAAAAATATATATGAATCTTGAACCCGTGAAATCAGGAATATGGTTTTCCTGTGCTTTCTTTGAACATGGAATGGAGTATTGTGTGCCCAGCTGTTGATTCATGTCGGTGGCATATAGACAATTTTAGGTACAAGGAATGGAATGTAAACTCCTATATAGCCTTTGTTTCTTGTTCTGAGGTTCAGAGACTCAAAGCTGAGTTTGACAAATGCCAAATATTTACCAGGAAAGCCTCATTGAGTCTCAAGACTTTTTTTCAGGAGGGTTCTGCATTGGGATGTTTGGCTTTGCATTGGGATGTTTGGCTTATGCCATTAACGGTGTTTGGTTTTGCCGAGGGACAACACAGATCCCAGGAGGCAGCCGGTTGACCTGGATGTGATCCACCACAAGTTCAGTGGAAACGTGCTCTGCTCCTATGCAGGCCCATCCAAAATTATCCTCAATTTCACTCATTGTGATCACGTCCTCCGTGAATGATTTTTCACCCACGGGTTAACGAGCAATTTGGAGGTGGGGTTGACAGATCATGCAGGAATGAGAGCCACCCGCTGCTGGGCAATAGGCCTATAGCGACATTGAGTGTTCTCTTGTGTGCCTAGACTCGAGCCGTACCGCTGTGTTCCTGAACATAAACAAAACAATACTTTATTAGCCTGAGCAAAACCCTCCTGAAAAAAAACGTTCACTGATAATCTATGTTTTCATGCAGGCCATGGGACTGGTGAATCGTGAATTGTTTAGGCAAAGTGCATTGCAGGAGGTAGGTAGAAGAATGGAAGGACCTGGGCATTGAGGACGTGATGGTGGGATTGGATGAGGTTAATAACGGTCTTTTTGAAAACATTTTGTTGTAATGGAGTTTACGCTCAAAGCCCCACGCCCCCACATGGGGTCTCATTTAGCTGCTTTATCCCAGATGAACAAGGGCCCCCGACATAGCCCCCATGTCCGAGTCATTTTCATTATGACTTGAGGCTTTTTTTTTAAACTAACCTGTGTGGGAATCGTATAGTATATTAAGACTTGCTTTCAATTATGTAACTCCAAATTGTGTTTTATTGACACATTTCACAGCAAATATGATTCATTATTGATGTTTGGCTCCGGCCACGTAATTATCTGACCAAATCTTTGTTGGTCAAACCCCCTTCACCCGACATAGCCAAACAAAGCAACCGTCACGTGTAGGACCGTTTAGCACGCCAATTGTTATTGTTTCAGCTCACTCCGCATTGAGTTGAAAAACAATCATCACAGCTACATTTGGTATCAAATAGACATAGCTATCTGATTGATAAATATGCGTCTAGTTCTTCCACCACCAGATACTAGTCTCATTGAAAGTTTGGATGAAGATTGTTCAACTTACCGTTGAGCAGAAACAATCATTCGTACTCTTGGTTCTTTCGGTAAAGTCACGTTGAAGGGAAACAATAAAATAATAATAACGTGACTTTACCGAAAGAACCAAGAATATGAATCAATGCAGGCACGAAAGCTTTAAATCAAAATCATTCGTACGTTAAACGCAGAACACGTGCCAATTTGGCTCTTGGGTGGTGGAGGGTAAAAAGGACGCATTTGGTCAGACCGTTGTGGCCTAACCAGAAATATATTATGAATCAAATGTGTTGTGAATTTGGATGGCATTTAAGGCAAGGTCATCCATTCACATCTGCATCTTTTCTTCGTCAATATTTTAATCCCGATTCGTGGCGTTGTCCCTCTGTTATATTGGATTTGGAGAGACATCAGCCTCTAGGAGCCCAGTTCTCTGTTACAGGAATCCATGCCTAATTTACTTTCATATTATATCTGGCACAATTTTTACTTGTTAGGGTTGGATAAAAAGGAAGGATTTTAAGTGCTTGCTAGCTTTTTACTCGGCGGGCAAAATCAATGGGCCAGTGGCTTGTCTGCTTGGCTGTTAATAAGGGTGATGAATATAGTTGATAGGGGCCCACATTAATCGTGTCAGATGGGGCCCTGGCAGTCAATAGTTGTGGCAACCACTCCAGTAGCATCTCGGTGCTGGAGAGCTTTGTCAACATTTTTACAGGAGAGGTTAATGCATATTTTCACTGTGGTACATCACATTTTGCTTATTTCACCATAGGTGGTGTCATTAGGTGCTATTGAACACATTGGAATATGTGGTGGTGCCGCACACATGTCACATGAACTTATAGACCTGATTGATGGACTGCGGAGATGTGCATGAGGTTGCCACCTGTTGGGCAATGAGGTGGCCATATCTCTCAAGATGGCAAATCAAAGTTTTGACCTGTGTGGAGATTCTACTACTTTTGTATGAGGTGGGGTTTGTCCAATCATTGCAAACAGTAATTGGACATGATCCAAAACTAGGACCCCCGTGAGAAAGTATTCATCTTCAATAACATTGTCTTTGATAAGAGGAAATAGCTACATGATATTGTTATCGAAGTTATTTGTTCATTTACAAATTTCACTGTTCATACAAGATGCCACTTTTGTGAGCCAAGTCAGTGCCTCGTGTTAACATTTCCCAAAATGGTGGCTCAAGCTGTTGCAGGACTGACCCTGTCATCACAAACTTGAGAATTGTACTGAGAAGATACAAGCCGTTTCAAATCAAGATTAATTCGCTGTATAAACTGTCTCGTGTTAAAAAAAAACATTTGCAGGGATACATTAGTTGCTCCCTAAAAAACCCTAGTTTGTGTGATACCACAGTAATGCCCATTGGCAGCACCAGTACCATGGTAAGCAAAACAATGGATTATTGTGAATACATGAACTGAACTCTACTAACCCCACTGGCGTCGCCTGTCTTTCAGAAATGGTACTGCAAATAAGACTGGAGGGCTTCAAATGTACCTTTTATTAAGGTATACTAGTATGTCATTGTTACGTTTAAATAAATGTACAGGATGCATGGAACTTGGCATCGTCTTCTTTTTATCAGAACGATTATTTCTGTTCTCCCAACATCAGGTGGATCAAAAGGATTCATCTTTGTGGCAATGGAATGGCTTGTGCTGGGTTTTTTGGAGTAAGCTCTGCTCAGCCCTAAAAAATAAACCACCTCTCTTTCTGTTGTCTCCGAATAATCTGACGAGTGGCGTCATTGTTTGATAATTTTCCTTAGCTGGAGGCAGGTTGATATTTCCTTAAAATAAAATGTGTTCTGTTAAAATAAGTTGTTTACGCAACCAAAACAAAGCCATGGCTATCTCGCACTGAATTCAATAGTTTTAAAAAACGTGAATACTTTGCTTAACTTTACATTTACTGGTCCTTGAATTCTGAATTTGATATAACTCGCTGTGTTTAGCCACTGGAATTGTTTAAAGAGTCGGGTTTTTCAAGATTAAAAGGTCTTCATGGCCAATTTCTACTGCCATTAAATGTGTCATCTTCCAGATGTACCTATATTCTCAGGCCAGAATCTGTTTTATCGTTGCTTTGTCAGTCTGACACTTGTACTCGTACACTATTAGACTTCACTCCAGCCTCTTTCAAAATGTGTCATACAGACCATCAAAACTCCCTATGCCAGTGCAACAACAACACCTTACAGTTGCAATGTGCCCATAATGTAAGAAAATGTCTCGAAGCACAGCATTACAAACGAACAGTAAAATGTGAGCACGAAAGGAAGCAATTAAGTGGTCGAAAGGTTCGAAGGGGAGCATTTTTAGGAGAAACTGCTGCTGTCATGTAAATACCGACATATCCAAGGCTAGTTCGAGTTTAGATCGCGAGCCAAGAACATCGGATGTGGAATGATTTTGTTGTGTCGCCAGGAAATTAATAGAAGGGCAACTGTTCATATGCAACTGTTCATATTGAACTATTCATATGTTCCGAGTATATGAAGTTCACCGCAGCTGCAGGATTAAGATCGGGATCCTGTTTTTGAGGTCTTGTGCTGCTCCACTCGTACCACCACTTTTCTTCAGGAGTGGCGTTCGATTCCAGAGTGGCCATTGACATGCCACCGCACCTAAACATTTGCTTTGAACAAAAACAACTTTTGAACTTCATTTCAAAAAAATTTTAAGGTAAAAAAATATTTTAAGTATTCTTAAAAACCTAACATATGCTTTGTAAGCAACTTGGATATACAGAAATCCCTGGACAACCTCTTTTTTGGCATCCGCGGCATACCAAGTTTTGTGTATCTGTGGTTTAGCACGGCGAACGGCACTTATAATGTAAAATCACCCGTATCTGTATTTCCTCCATGCATCCTCATCTCCCAGCTACCAACCACCGCTCTCTTCCCACCATCAACGCTCTCTCGCATAGTGACTGTTGTAGTATGTGGACGTTGTCATATTGCTACGCATTATTCCACGTTTATTTACCTTTAATTGTTTGCATTGTGCCCTTAATAATGGCCCTAAGTGTGTGTAGCCGGTGTGAGCTTGCCTGTGATGAATCGCACGTATAATTGTGCACTGTCACGTGTTACTGTAATTGGTACGGAGGCCAGGTACGCCTTTTATTTATTTATTATAAGTGTAGGCAATGATGATTAGAGATCGGACCCCAAGCCTCATGTGCACAGCAGGCCATGTCCAGCAGTGTGTCGCCTATTCAGAGGACAGGGTCTGCCCCCAATGTAGATTTGGGGCGCACTGAGGGACTGAGCTGAGGTGATGTTGTGTGACGTGGTAGGCGATAGGGGTGTGTCTGGTCATGATTGCAGGTACGCAAATGCTCCTCAGAATAAGACTTTGAAATAAATCATTGCCTTTCCACAAGCCTCTGGTGCTCATCTGTCCTGAAGTTGCCCACTTATCGTTACGATTCACGGGAGGAGAGTGGCAGGGCAGGCCGGCTGCACGTGCAACCAAGAGGGTGAGAAAAGCCCCTCTTCTGTTATAAGGTGGTGAGACTCAGTTAATTTAATCGGCCACAGCAGGTTCGGTATCCAATTATTATTTTATGTTAAAGGTCTAAAGCAGCTCAATATATAGCAGCGCGCTACCTCGCCGCACCAAAGGCACCAGCTCGCCCATCCCCAAAAAGCTTTTTGATCTCTGGCTAAGCTCCCTTATATAGGCGGAGAGCTCAAAATTAATTATTCCATTATTAAATCCAGCTGTTCTCCAATTACCTCACTCCCCGAGGAGTCATCATAACCCAAGCAATCATACTTGGTGTGCATCCACATACCCAACAAACCGGCTCGCCCCTCCAACCCCATACAACATATCCCACCCTCAGCCATCTCCACACAGGCGTGGGCACAGATCACAACACTTCTAAACCACTTCCCCCATTACTTCATCCTCATCAACGTCATCACCATGGACTTCAACTATCAGTATTAAAGTTGAATAACATTTTTTTAATGTTATTTAAAGATTTGTGTTTTTATTGTAATTCCTGCCGGGGAGTTGACAATTTTTGGAAACCTGTTGGATCAACTTTTTGCCCCCACACCAGGGGGGGAGGGGAACTTTCTATAACTTTTTGATCCAAGCCTTCTGAAAGGCTCTGATAATGTAGTTGACAGGCAAACAAACGGACACATGGAACGCTGGGCTTTTATAATCGACTAGCAGGAATAGTTTTGGGGGGGGGGGGTTAAATAGTTGATCTAATAGGTTTCCAAAATTCTCGACCCCCCCTCCCCTGCTAAAATATTTTTACCCCCCCCCCCCCCAATATATACCGACCCCTACATACAAGTAGCATCTCGTGACTATACAGGTAGTCCCCGACGTACGATGAAGATGTGTTACGACGACCCCATTGTAATTCGAAAATATCTTAAGTTGAAAATGGCCTAGCCTACCCAGGAGTCTCAAAGAATGGTGATAATTTAGCAAAACAGAGCAATTTACAGTACCATACTGTATAAACTATATACTGTATGTAATTTATTAATTACAATACTGTATTGCACAGTAAATTTTAAAGTAAAAAAACAAGGTAAATTCTTAGCCTACCTATATGAACTGCAATTTCATAGAAAGTGTTTTTTCAGGAAACAATCCTATCTGCTATAAAACCTTTAACATGCATTGAACGTATGTATCGTATCGTAACCCTAAAATGAAATCGCTAAAGCTATCGTAAATGCATTGAACGTATCGGAACGTATCATATTCTACTGTACTCACCAAGATTCTGTCCGTCGTCTGCATACTTGAACGATGTTAGGTTGTTGATGGCTACATTAACTTAGTTGTTGGAAGAGGAGGATGGCGATGATAAAGTACAGTATTGTACCTCGTACGCTGCTGCGTTTGCCTGCTGCGCGAAATTTAAGATATTTTACAATTTTGTCATATCGCTATCACCATCGTAACATCGAAATATCGTAAGTTGGACCATCATAAGTCGGGGACTACCTGTAGAAGTGTAGTGGAGTATGAAGGTGTGTTGTGGAAGCTGCGCGATTGCATGATCACACGGACAGTGTGGGTTATCTGGGGTCAGCCTGTGGAGAAGGCGAAAACAGTGTGGGTCGTGTTAGGACAACCAGGTGTAAAGGCTGGGATGATGAGGTAACGGTTGGGCCAATTAAGCCAGAGGATCAGCAACGGCGGTGATTGGCTGTGGCTGTTGTCAAGGGCGAGGAGGCATCGAGATGTCTGGAGAAAGGCAGGTGTTTGAGGACGCAATGCGTGCGGAGGCACGCAGGCCAATTAATTAGTGATAATGAGACTGAGGATAAATTGGGGGAGACACACCAGAGAGCAGGGAGTTGGAGTTGGGAGCTGGACGAGGAAGACGTGGAGTTTGGAGACGGAGTTTGGAGATGGAGTTTGGAGACGGAGTTTGGAGACGGAGTTTGGAGACGGAGTTTGGAGACGGAGTTTGGAGACGGAGTTTGGAGACGGAGTTTGGAGACGGAGTTTGGAGACGGAGTTTGGAGACGGAGTTTGGAGACGGAGTTGGAACAGAGTGTGAAGCAAGACGAAGTAGTTATCAGTGGAGTGAGCGTAGCGATAGCGGAGCTGAAGACGCTGTGTGCGGAGTGTGCGAAGTCGCTGTGTGCGAAGACGCTGTGTGCGGAGGAGCTGAGGAGAATAGCCAGCAGTGGAGAGAGCATAGCGATAACGGAGCTGAAGACGCTGTGTGCGGAGTTGCTGAACGGGGAGTCGCTGAGTGCGAAGCAAGTGAAGTGCTAGTGGGGAGACAAAGGTGGTGAGCGAGACGAGCGTAGCACGGTGAGCGAGCCGTGGTGACCAGGATACTTTGGAGTGTGGAGGACATGTTGAATGTTGTAAATAAAGCGGTGTTCGACGAAAGACAGAAGTTGTCCGCGTAAAGTCGAACACTACAGAAGTATCTAGTGACTAATTTATCTACCCCCCCCCCCCCCCCGTCTTATCGTCAGTAGGTACTACTATTGAGTCGGTATATACTACTATAGAGTTGGTATACTACTGTAGAGTCAGTGGATACTAGTCAGTAGATTCTACTGTAGAGACAGATACTATAGAGTCACTAGATATTCTACATTTGAAGCTTTCGTGACTGCAAGGATTCATACTCTTTGTTTTTTTCGGTAAAGTCACGTAGGTAAAATAAAAATAAAATGAAAGACAACAAAATAAAATCACGACGTTGTGGAGGCAACACAAGCTTCCGTCTTCAGGTGGAACAGACACAACAAAGTTTGCTGTATCAATACAATTTGCATGCAGGAGTTGCAGAGTTCATGACGAGATCAGAGGCTTGTGTTGCCTCCGAAACGTCGTGATTTTATGTAGTTGTTTTATTTTCTCTGCAGCAGTATATACTGACTGAAGTGGTAACTACCGACTGTAGTAGTATCTACCGACACTATAGTATCTACTGACTCTACGGTAGTATCTATTGACTATAGTAGTATCAACTTGGTCTACAGTAGTAACTACTGACTGAAATAGCACCTACCAACTCGGCAGCAGTAACTACTGACTCTGCAGAAGTATATATTGACTATAGTAGTACCTACTGAGTCTACAGTAGTACATACTGAATGCAGTAGTATCTACTGAGTCTACAGTAATATCTACCGATTCTACAGTAGTATCTGTCGACTCTGCAGTAGTATATACCGAAACTAGTCATATCTATTGACTCTAT